CCACGCATCGATTGATAAATTAACTTTCTTAAGATATTCAACTTTCCTTTCGACCATTTATAAAGCGTGAAAGATGCTTTAAGGTGGGTATTGATCTTAACGAAAGTAACTGGAAGCACTTCTTAGAAAGGTTAATTGAAGTTGTTATGAAGCGGTGATTTATAAACGCCCATTTTTTCCAACAAGCTTTCAACACCTACGCGCACTTATACGTCCCAATCTTTGAGTAAATGCCACTTAGTGAAAATTGATTACTTAATACAGTTTTCAAGTGCGATAGATTATGAAAAGAAGTGATTGTTAGTGTATATGGTAAATTCCCAAATTCAAATGTTTGGTACTGGAACTGACGAAAATTTACAAACATCATCGCGTAAAAATTCATTTGAAAGTTTAATCAATCTTAGTTATACAATTCAAATTTCACGTTCACGTACTTTCGAAATTATTTTAAGAAATCCTCCAATTTATCAGAGATCCTTTATGCAATTCCATCACAGAGCCATTGAAAAGGTCTGAAGTTGAAGATCCTCTACATATTAAAACTGTCTCCCTTTGCCCTCATGATGAAATACGAAGTTTGCTTTTAGAAACGTTATGAGGGATTACATCGTGACCTTCCATAAACTTTGAAAAGATCGTCGAAGTAAATGCAGACGGGAAAATGTCACCGTGTTCCAGCATTGATTATTATTGAACCTTAATTGTTTTAAATTTATGGCTACTTTTGTCACCTACCCGCAATAAAAACCGAATGCAATCGACGTCAATTATGATTGTAAAATCGATTCATTTATATTTATATATATTTATTCATTTAAACTAACTCATTATTCGTTAGCAAAAAAGGTGCTGCATTTTTTCAGGATCGGTGATTCTTATGGCAGTTTCCCCACAGGAAATGGTAGCTCCAAACTAAGATCCTTCCACCGCCTGGCCTCTAAGGGTTGCCGCGCGCGTGAACCCAATTTGTACGAGATAGTGTGTAGTGTCACCTCGAGCGAGAGTGAGGATCGCACCGAAGTAACTAAGAAAGTTATTCGAGTAAATAGAGTGATCTTTATTGTATATTGTATATATATTATACAGGGTGTTACAGTCAAGTGATGTATCTTCCTCTTCCTCCTTCCAAAATAAATATATAATAAATTTCTACTGAATATTTTCGCTTTGCTCTTAAAACGGACTAAAATAAAATAAAAATAAAATAAAACCATCAATTATAAAATACATATGTTTTTATTTTCTATAAGCAAATTTATATCAATTCAAAAGTCTTCAATGGTTACATTAAACTGGTAGGTACCTATATGAAATCTGTGTGTGTGGACCCTCTTCTAAACATGTGTGTCTTTTTTAACAGAATGTGCTAACTAGCTAGCACTACCCACTAGCGGCCGGGCTCCCAGTTACGTTCAAGATCATTAAGATTGAGGCACTCTTGTGAATTTAGACAAAAAGTGCGGATTTCCAGAATTTAAAAATACGCCAAATTATGCCCGAGATTATGCCAAAAAATTTTCAGGAATATTTCTAATCACTTCTTAAAATGAACAGCTTATCTTATGGTACTAACATTGTTTGGACAATAAAATGTTGAAGGAGTGGGCTTGTCCAATTGAAATCCGTCATAAATCGTTTTTGCAGCGGCATACGTCACGAATCAAAACATATGGATGGTTGGGGGGGGGGGGGTCATCAGTCGAATAAACCTCGTGTAATGTAAAATGTAATCATTGTGTCAAGAAGTAATGGCCCTGCAAAGCAATAAATGACCGAATTCGTTATTTGCACGTTGTCTATGGCGTCCTTGAAACATTCCTCATCTTGTCTAATGTAAAGGTCAAGCATATTAAAATTTTCAACCCACATTATATACTGATTCTCATTATAACGGTCAAAAATATATAAATAGAAATTGGTATCAATCAGTGCGTTTCGGAGGAATCCTCAAATCTGTGCTAAAACATAATTACGTTTTCACGATTAATGTATACAAAATTATTACATAAAAGCGTTAATTATACATATAATTGTATTGAATTGTAGGTAATTGTACGCTGTTCCTGCATCGATTACTCACAGGTTAATTTCAGCGGGATTCTCGGAGCTCAATTATCTCAGTAAGTAAAATTAGGTCACCTATTTTATTGTCGTCCACATAGCGCAGAAGAAAGACGTTTCTTTAGAACGTAAATTGTTGGTGCGAAGTATAAGTACACACGTTTATTAATTTATCTGAGAAGTAGTTTCAAAATGCAAATTATTATTGATTGAACATAGTATAAAAAAAATAATAATAATAATCTGGATTTCGTCGACTTGTTACAGTATGGAATACGTGAAATACATCTAACAACTAGTACTTATAAAGCAAAGTGTATAACATCATTACTTGTACACAGATTAGCAGCTATCGGCTGTGTAAGTTAGTCTGTGAGGAGGAATTTGAACTTTATGGGAAGCTCTTATTGGATACTCATTCAATTTTCCCCTTTGAATCTTGCCGTTTAACACTTTTTTGTGTACATATAGTGCACTGTACAATTCATTATGTACACTGATGTCACTGTGAGAATTTTCATTTGCCTGAACAAATCTACAATGTTTCGTATGGGACGCAAAAGTCATTGTGCGTAGTATTCGCTTTCGGCAACTATAATTTTGGACATCCAATAGGGAGGTTCGACATTTTTGGTAGGTATTTGTTTTATTTTAACTTAAATTGAGAGATTTTGTTATTAAAAACGACAAAAAAAATATGAGCCCAAAATATTGAGATTTACGTCCGCTGTAAGCACTTTAAAACAAGGGTTGGCGCGAAGGAAGAAAACGTACCTGTGCGCGAGACTAGACTGCGTGACGTCAGTAGCCAGACCATTTCCACATTAACATGGATGAGTGTTTTTGATAACCTTGCAGCATTGTGCAGACAATAAATAAATCGGTCCCAGTTTACGTGAATCCGTTTACTCTGCCAGCACGGTAGCAAATGTTTCTGGCTACTGACGTCACGGGGTCTAGTGTCTCGCGCGCAGGTACGTTTTCTAGCTTCGCGTCGGCCCTTGACTTTAAAGTGCTTACAGCGGACGTAAATATCAATTTTTTACACCCAAATTGTTTTGATCCTTTTTTAATAACAAAATTTTTTTTATTTCAGTTAAAATAAAAAAATGTCGAACCTGCCTATTGGTATTACCCCAGCATTCAATACTATAACTCAATATCGAATAATGGGTGTACCATGTACTGTACCTACTTTAAACATTTTTGTACTGGTTCATTTCGTACAAAATAATACGCCATCAATATTCACAACTGCTTAAAATGAGCTTTCAAGGCATTAAACCGGTGGAAACTCCTACAATAATAATTTGCTCTTGATCTAACCCTACGTACAAGTGTTGATGAACCTGACACGGCACATAATGTGCGTGCAGAAATGTCGGGTGACATTAGTCGACATCGAGGTTGCCCAAAATATGGCCATTTCATACTTGGATGGAGATGGAGGAACCATTTTCTTTGATATCGGAAAATAACCTTCGAAAAATGTGTTTAGGAATTAGAAGCTTGTGAAGACTTGCTTTCTGAGTTTGCCGAATATTTTTGATTTTTTTTATTGTGCATTTTTCTAATTTTTTTTTAATTTTTATATTTTCCATGCTCTTCAAATTGTTGAGTTCTTTTTCCTGGTTTAAATTGTTTCTAATTGTTTGATTAATTTTAATAAAATTACTAATTTTTTTAGCGTAACTACGAATTTTTCTGAATACTGTTACACCCCTGAAAAATGCACGGAACTGACGTAAATAAAATTATACTAAGTATGCACGTACATTTAAAAAATATTACCAATATTTACTAGCTATAAATTGAATTCATATCTTCTTCTACTTACTTATTAGTTTCAGATAATGCGCGTTGAGCGAGATAATAAGCGTTTAGAATTTGGAGGAAATACTGTAATAAAAAAATTATAAAGCACTCTCCGATATATAACGTAAATTAGGAAGGGACGATTGTCTACAATAGTTCCTTTCCCATTGGGGAAAATACGTCCACGTCACATTAAACTGTAATGGTATAATCGAGGGCATAATAGTTGTAAGGTGTTCGTACAATATGACATAACTAAGTATTTTTACGTCTCCAAATAGGTATTTCGGCAGTGTCAGTATAAATTTTGACCTGGTGGAAGACCTCTCCGGGACTTCCTCCTCCAACATTCTGCTGAAAGCTGATGCCCACTTTCTCGTAGCAAATCTGTTAGTTTGATTCCCGAGCGTTGCAACAAGAGTTAAGTAAAAGGCTGCAAACATGTACCCGAGCATGTACCTAATTAATTGGCAACTATATACATCCGTAGACACAATAAATTTTAATTGCAAATGCAAAGAGTTTGATTAACGTTCCGTAAAAACGAAGTAGTGATTTGAATTAGTAATTAAATTGCGCAGATACGTAATAATTGCAAAATAATTATCCAAGGTAATTACTTTGTATTGCTCTTCAATGAACTTGCAGAACCAGTCACCTGACATGGAACATGTGTTCTGCGACGGCTGTAGGTATAGAGAAATTTCTTGTTTCCGAACCGCAACGACAATAATTGCAATACTGATGACCCATCAAATGAAAAACCTTACAGACGAAGGGGAATCAAATCTGACTGCCAAAGCCAATATCCGATCTGAACAGCAAAAATGAGGGCTAAATTAAATTTATGAACTGAATTGCAAACTTTTTATTTATGAAGGCATTCGAATGAAATTTGATCATATGCACTTGGAATAAAAGCAAATGTAGCCCCAGTTTAAAAATTTGGTTTTGCTATATTTGTTTACACGTTTATTTATAAAACGATTTCATGGATTTCTTAGCAGTAGACCTAAAAAATGAACGTTTCGGGCCCAAGAGTTTTAAGTTAAAAATCGGAACTGTATGATTACAGGGATCATTTACGTCCGTAGCACTTACACCAATTGTTTTTGTTACAGAGGCCCTATTGCAAAGTCGACCACTACCCCACATACCGAATCTTCCCGAGTCCGAAGCGCCGACGACGAGTTCCATCGGATCGGGCGGTACGCTGGGAAGCTTATCGGGTTCGTCAGGATCGGCAGCACCATCGACTCCCATGTCGCTAGAGACGGCGAACAGATGGACGTCCAAGGAGAATCTTCTGGCGCAGGAGGAGGACGACCCGCAACTATTTGTAGCTCTATACGACTTCCAAGCGGGCGGCGAAAATCAGCTTAGCTTAAAAAAGGGCGAACAAGTTCGGATTCTTAGTTACAACAAAAGTGGGGAGTGGTGCGAGGCGCATTCGGCATCGAATCAGGTCGGATGGGTACCATCAAATTACGTAACGCCTGTAAATTCTTTGGAGAAGCATTCCTGGTACCACGGACCAATATCTAGAAACGCGGCCGAGTATTTATTAAGTTCGGGAATTAACGGAAGTTTTTTAGTGCGAGAATCGGAAAGTAGTCCTGGACAACGTAGCATTTCATTAAGGTACGAGGGGCGCGTCTATCACTATAGGATAAATGAAGATTCAGAAGGCAAGGTTTTTGTGACGGCCGAGAGCAAGTTTAATACCTTAGCGGAGCTAGTCCATCATCATTCTATGCTCTCGGATGGTCTGATTACTCAGCTGCTCTATCCTGCACCCAAACATAACAAACCGACAGTATTTCCTCTTAGCCCCGAGCCCGACGAATGGGAGATTAATCGGACTGATATCGTGATGAGGCATAAGCTAGGAGGTGGTCAGTATGGAGATGTCTACGAGGCAGTATGGAAACGTTACAATATGACCGTCGCCGTCAAAACGTTGAAAGAAGATACAATGGCACTAAAAGATTTCCTTGAGGAAGCAGCGATTATGAAAGAAATGAAGCATCCAAATTTAGTACAACTGATGGGAGTTTGCACAAGGGAGCCTCCATTTTATATCATTACCGAGTTTATGAGTAAGGGAAACTTGTTGGACTATTTGCGGAATGGCAACAAAGAACAAATCAATGCAGTTGTGCTTATGTACATTGCTACACAAATAGCGAGTGGCATGAGTTATTTAGAAAGCAGGTGCTTTATACACAGAGATTTGGCGGCACGAAACTGCCTGGTGGGCGAAAACCACTTGGTGAAAGTTGCCGATTTCGGTTTGGCTAGATTAATGCGAGATGACACATATACGGCACATGCCGGCGCCAAATTTCCCATTAAGTGGACCGCGCCCGAAGGCTTGGCGTACAATAAATTTTCCACCAAATCCGACGTTTGGGCTTTCGGTATTTTGCTATGGGAAATCGCCACCTACGGAATGTCGCCATATCCGGGCGTCGATCTGACCGATGTCTACCACACACTTCAGAAGGGCTATCGCATGGAATGTCCGCCGGGTTGTCCGCCGAAAATTTACGAGCTAATGAGACAATGCTGGCAGTGGCATGCGCACGAAAGACCGACGTTTAGAGAAATCCATCACGCACTGGAGAATATGTTTCAGGAGTCTAGCATTACGGAAGGTAATTTGTTTGACATGTGTGAAATGGAACCCGTCCACCTCTCCCACTACTTCCAATTTTTTTGTAAACTATTTTGTAATTAGAGGCTTTAGTTACAAAAATCCATTTGATTTTGGTAGGGCCAAGTTAGGCGTTAGGCTTTAATAAAAATTACCCTATGAAAATAATTAGTGTGCTGTACGATTTATAATTAAGTGCTACTAAAAAATGTGATTATCAAATCTTCCAAGTTTTTACCTTAAATGTGACCAGTAAAAATTGGTTAAAAAAATATGAGCTGTTGATAATTACGTGTTATTCAAAGTGCCCTTACCATTTAGAGAAATTGGGATATTGCCACCAGCAAAAGGGCGCAGGCAGCTCTCAGATCAGAAGTAAGTTATAGTTCAAAAATTAAGTACTACGCCAATAAGTCATTAAAATCATTACTTTAGTTACACGTTATTAAAATATTCAATTTGGAAAATGTAGTCATACCATAAGAACCAGATTTCATGATTTTTAGGGTGATTGTTTTTAGCAAGGTTTCTGACATTTTGCAAAAAGGTTATGTAAGCCATCTTCCAAGAGGATTTATTTCATATTGTAAGTTGAAGTTGAAGCGCAACAATTTTCAAAAAAGGCGTCTAAAGATTTTCCTGATTTTCTTAGAAGTGTATATAAGACCTTCCTAGAAACCTCTAGCCATTTTTTCTTCAAATTTCCTTTAAAGTGATCTTATCTTTTTTGAAGTCTACATACTTAGAATGTGTTATTGAAACCGTAGGAATTTTCTAAGAACATTTTTAGAAACTTTCTTAGAACGCATTTTAGAAATGTCTTTAAAGGTTCCTGTTTGCAATACTTTTTATTTCAGAAACCTTTCAAACCATCAGAAACGTTTTTATTTTGTAGTTTCCTTAGAAATGTTCCTAGGAAATTGAGCAGTCTTCTAGAATCTGAGTTAGGTAGATACGTTTCACGAGATGTCGCTAGAAGCTTAAAAAAATAGTTGTGTTATCTTAAACAATTCCTCAGCTTTCTAGAAATTTGAAGAATTTTCTAAGAATTTTTAGGAACTTTCTTGAAAACATTTGTAGGAATCTTTTGGAGAAATTATTAGAGATCTTTTTTGCGATCTTTCTAGAAATTTTGAAAAATATTTTAGGAACCTTAAATATCTTAAAATCATCTGGGGATTTTTTAGAAACATTCCTGGGCTTAAAAATTTCTTTAGAAAATCTTTCCAATCAAATTTCTAAACAAATTTTTGAAAACTTACTTAGGCATCTTTTAGATCTTTGAAATCTTCGAAATTATTTTTATATCAACAGAATTTTCAGAAACCTAGTCAGAAACCTTCTTAGGAAGACTTTACAAAAAATTGGAGGTGGTGAAGTGGGACTAATTTAATAGACATGGGAATCGTTTCACATTTTACCATTTCGCAGAGGTAGAAAAACAGCTACAGGGAAGTGATGGATCAGGTACTCCTCTCTTGTCATACAAGAAGTCTCATTCTGGTAGTACTGGGAATATCCATGGTCTGGTCAGTTCCTCCGATCAACAGGATCTGCAAGGAACTAAGTTATCCACGTTTTCGGGTGGTCCATGCAATGCAAAGGGCAGTATGGTGCAGATGCGTAGAACGACGAACAAAAAGGGCAAACAAGCTCCGGTGCCCCCCAAAAGGACTAGGTACGAGATATTCGCATCATTCTCACATCATCTGCACATTTTTTATCAGCACCCTTTTACTAATAAAGTTCATTGTTTTCAGTCTTTTATCTTCTTGTAGTTCATTTCGCGATAGTACGTGTGACGATCAAGGGCATGGAGATGGAGGATTGGATGATGGAGCCGATATAAATGGTATTAGTAAAAAATTTAAAGGTATTTTTTAATTCATGTTAGGATTGCACAGAATTAACTTACTAACGGATGTTGTAGCATTGGGCTATTTTAACTCTTATGTTAATAATAGTAGTTTGTTGTTGTGCTTTTGAGTTAGAATGGAAGGCTACTTTAAATAGGTAAACATTCAGCGTCTCATTACTGACGTCTATTATTTAAATTTGATAGGATTGTGTGATGATGAATACAACATTCATAATGTGAAATTTAGGAAATTTTCCGCATGACAGTCTCAAAATAGCAATATTAGGGCCTATTTTGAGAAAACATTTTTAGTTTTGGCTATATTCTACACTTGAGTGGAGTTCACCCTATTTCTGTAAGGCTAAGTACATAGTTGAGCGGAGAGCAAAGCAACGGAGTGACGAGCAGTGCGGGGATTTAGCAGCGTTGTTAATATAGACCAAAGCGGTGCGGTCAAGTAAGTTTGATTTCTGCTGGTTTGTCTCTGTCTTGTACTGTACAAAATGGACTTTAAACAAATAATAAATTTGTTAAAAATCCATTGTAGTACCAAAAAGATCGCTTGGGCAATAGTTTAATAAACCTGGCAGAAAGTATCATACACCCCGACGAGAGATGAGGATATACGATTATATGTCTTTCAAAAACAACAATAATCAAGAAAAAAATGAAAACCCCATCAGAAGCATAAGTTAACATTTTATCCCCAGATTCCTTCACATTGGGAATAGTACCGTTTAGTCCAGGAGATAGAGATTGAAAATGGACCATTTCCTGCAAAACGAGAAGTAGTTCCAATTTTTTTTGCATGTCATGGAAGAATATCTGGTGGTTAAGAATCCAAGTTTTCGACCTCCCACCCCTTGTGCTTCCCCCGTACCACCCTTAAAACCAAAGAAATTTGGTTGGTTTTTTAGTTTTTCAATCATATCTTTTTATAAGTTCATTTTACAAAAAAATATTGTTATCAGAAATTGTAGACTATAAAATTCTACACAACTTTGATATACACTACTTTTTTGTGAAATGTTTATTAAAAACGATATAGAGCTTCAGAGTTGCTTATATTTTTAAGAATTCTAAAATTTGTATGTAGATGTTTTAACCAAATTTTATACTTTATCTCTATAATTAAGAGTTTTATGAGAAAATATCTTCAACTTATCGTGGCATAAATACCCTTACGCTGCACCCTTACCAAAGGGGATGCATAATAATTCAACTTTCAACCCTTGCTAGTGGGGATATTTGAATCACTGTGAGATTTTAGGGCTTTCTAATATACGTTTGAAACAAAAATTATCTCACTTCAGTTCAGCTTCATCCTTCATATCCTTCATCCCCCCCCCCTCCCCTCAACCGCGGTAGGAATAGATATTTAAGAGGAATAGAAAATATTATGTAATAAGCGTTGTATTCTCTGACTAACTTCACAATCGCCACAAGAGCGTTTAAATATCTATTCTTTCCGCGCGGGGGGGAGAGGGGGAGGGGGGTTAAACTGAACTGAAGTGAGACAATTTTTTCATTTCAAAAGTATATTAGAAAGGGCTATAATCTCACAGTAATTCAAATATCCTCACTAGCAAGGGTTGCAAGTTTCATTATTATGCATCCCCTTTGGTAAGGGTGCAGGGTAGAGGGATTTATACCACGATTAATTCAAGATATTTTCTCATAAAACTCTTAATTATAGTGATAAAGTATGAAATTTGGTTAAAACATCTACATAGAAATTTCAGAATTCTTCAAAATATAACCAACTCTCAAGCTCTATATCTTTTTTAAACATTTCACAAAAAAATAGTGTATATCAAAGTGGTGTAGAATTTTATGGTCTACAATTTCTGATAACAATATTTTTTTCTAAAGTGAACCATTAAAAAGATTGATTGAAAAACTAAGAAACCAACCAAATTTCAGGGGTTTTGGGGGTGGTACGGGGGAAGCACAAGGGGTGGGAGGTCGAAAACTTAGATTCTTAACCACCAGATGACTGTCTATGACATGCAAAAGAAATTGGAACTACTTCTCATTTTGCATGCTAAAACTCTCTATTCCCTGGACTAGTTTGTTTTAAATGTTTTTGTGTTTATTAATAGACTTGCTTACAAAAATTATTTTTTTAAAGACTTTTCATCCTTCATAACTTTACTAACTGTCAAAAAGCAAAAAAATAATACTTAGGGGTGCGGCGAATTTTGTTTAATAATTTTAGTGTGTCGCCACACAAAAAAGTTTGAGAAACACTGAGTTAGATCATACTTCAGTGAAAGACACTTATTGATAATTACGTCTCGTATTTTGATATATCTCAAATAATATTATTGTATAAAAATATATTATGTAATAAAGGTATTACATACTTACATACATCGCTCTCCGCTCCACTATGTGCTTAACCTTGTAATAATAATAATAATAATAATGGTTTTTCCTACACCATAACCAATGGGCACAAGGTCAGGTAAACCCGTTGAAGGTTAGTTAGGGGGCCGCCCGTTGTTATTTCATAAACCTCTTTTGCCCAAGAACTCAACCAGAAAAGCGCCATCTCACAAATGATTCTATCTCGCTGCCTATAATACCTACTCAGGGTAGCTTTCCGCATTTCAAGTGGACAAAAAATATGGGTGTAATCTTATTGCCAGTTTGCTCTATCTGTTACGAACATTATTAAGTCTTTAGTTATTTACTGAACGTTATTGTTCCTTAGAGCAACAATCGCTGTTTAGTAGTATGCTGATCTTCTACATTGAAATCAATAACTAAACAAGAAAATTTAAGAGATATTTCATGTTACAAATCTAGTGCTTGCTCACTATTATTTCTATCGCGATTATCGATTGTTATGATGATTTTTTTACTACCAATCGACAGAAATATAATGTGTGGGTAGCAGAAGGGGCTTTGGCATTCTTTATGGATATGTATTGGCATAATTATTGTTTTATATGTCATTTTAAGGCATTGCACGTGAACTTCACAATTTAGCTACAAGCGCGAAGGGTGACAGCGAAAGCGAATTGCAAGATCAAACACCAGATACAGATGACTCTGGGGCTCATTCGTATCCTGAAGTCGCCTCCACAAACACCTTTGGTCTTCCCAACACAAACTCATTCAAAAGAGCGCCGATTATGGGAAACCGTGGTTTAGAACAACGTGGGAAGAAATCACGTACATATCCTCCCAAAGAGTCACAAACTGTAAGTTGTGTCTTTCAAAATCCTCCCTTACGATTTCTTTCAGGTACAAGTTGCGGCTCTAGAAGTACAAAATGTGCGTAAGGCGATTAGTAGGTATGGAACTCTGCCAAAAGGTGCTAGGATCGGGGCGTATCTGGAGTCGCTGCGTCAAAGCGGTCTTTCAGGCAACCAAGAGCAAATTCAAACAGTAAACCCTGTTATAGCCGAACAAACGGAACCGACTGCAAGGTCCCTGTCACCTCGAACAAACATCCGTACTCAACCTCAAATGATCCGTAGTAATTCATCGAGCGGAGTAACCACATTCCACGCCCCACACCCTCCCAATTCTCCAACGGCGTCAAAATTAAGTCGGAACCGAAATATGAACAGACACAACACAGTGGATGTGGCGAGCGGTTTGAGAACATTTAAATCATCTCACAACCATAGCACTTTCCGTCAAGGCAGTCCGTCGCGGGTAGTGCAGCCGAGCCTCGCCGATTTAGAATTTCCACCTCCTCCCACCGACCTCCCTCCTCCCCCTGAAGAGTTTGATGGATCTGACGTTATCGAATCTCTCACCTCCATGACCGCGTCAGCAGAGTTGAAAAGGAAACGCGTTCCAATCTCGCCGCATACCTCTAGAAAACTCGAAGAACCAGATGATCAAGGCAACATTGACGTCAGCAACCTACAGCCGTCAGTTGAAGAAGCAAGTTGGAGGTTTGGTATAAGTTTAAGGAAATGTGAGCCATCAACAGAAAGCTGTGGTAGTTTTAGAGAGAAAGAAGAAAAGAGTCCGTTACATTCCAGTATGAGTCTTACAAGTCCTAGTCAGGAAGGTAGAAGTCCTATGAGTATAGATTCTGATGTTCCTGTGGTCGGTTCTCCACTCGAACCGCTGCCACTCCCTCCCGAGTTCCCTGAAGCAGGTACATTTTCCAACAGGCGCTAATTATGTAAACCTAACCTTTAATTTGCAGACGTGCAAAACAATGATCAAAAGGAAAACAAGCATTCAGTGACCGACGACAATAAATCATCCAAAGTGTTCAAAACTAAATTAGTAAAAAAAGAAATGGAATTAAAACTGGTGGCGGAAATCAAAGAACGGGCTGATCAAAAGAATAAATCCTCAACAGAATCTCCCCTTGATCCTATAGTGGCTGTGAGTAGTTTTAGTAGTGACCCCGCCGCGCAATTAGTCTCGGAGTTATCGGAAACGTTAAACCTCGAAGGTGTTGATAAACGAAGAAATATCCCCACGTCAGTTTTAAAAGAGAAATCTGATAACAGCAGTGTATTTACCTCGCATCTCAAGAAAATCGAACCAGTTTTGAAAAAACAAGTGCCAAAAGAAAAAGAGGAAACTAATAATTTAAGTAAAATAATCGATTTTAAATCCCGGCTCCGAAAAGTAGACGGCGGCACCGAGAAAAAGTTCGACAAGGAGGACGAAGACAACAATGGTCAGTCGCCCGAGCAGGGCAGAAATGGGTTAGAGTATGATCAGGAAGGTAATAAACGCGAAAGCACAGCTAGCTCCGATAGTGGAAATTTAAAAATTGAGGAGTGCGAGGATAAGCGGAAAAGTACTGGAAGTATTAGTAGCCTTAAAAAACTTTGGGAACCGAAAGATGCAACAGAAAACTCAGGTACTTTTATTGTGAATTAAATAACTTTGATCCTAAACTTAATGAAGTAAACCCCATTATTTACATTAAATTCTTGCATTTGTAAAGCACACTCGAGACAATGTAAATTTCATTAGAAAAATGCATTCTTCATAAAAGTTTTTGCTAGTTATAAAATGGTAATTCCCATTTATACCTTTCAAAATTTCCGTTTCAGTGTTCTTTAGTTTACTTTTTGCCCTGTTAAGTACATATACGGGTTTTTATTATGTTATCAAGTGTGCTAAAGTATAACCTTTTGTCCTGTTATTGGACTTTAATGCTTTTGACAAACATCACTTTATTTTATACGTTAAACAAACCCATTTTAGGAGGATAGAATGGATTTAAGTTTAGTTTTTTAAGTTTATGAACACCTATCGACGGTTTCTGACAAGGTTTGTTACCACCCATTAACCTGGCATTCATTAACAGTGATTACCTAATTAAGCGTAATCGAACCTAACTACTCATAAATCCAATCTGCAACTAGCCCCCTTGGATTATTTCCTTTCAAACGGCGCTATCGCTTTACCACTGTGATCGCAACATGCAGGAGTACGGCCGGAACTCCAAAACCTGTAAACAACTCGCTTTACTTATTATGGGAAACTAAAACAGCTTATAAACAGAAACAGAAAAATATTAATTGTCCCCATTTTCGTCATGACGAGAGCCTTCTGTGGTTACAAAAATAATGTCCAGCTTAAACGGTCGTAGGCGGAGTAATTCCGGGTGCTTCATTACAATGTTCCCAGAATTCCTACTTCACAGTGCTGTCGCGCAAACAATTCCTTAGACTTTTAAGAATTCAATAATAAATAATAAACTTATCATGAACGATTTAAGAGATATAGAAAGATTGACATGTGTAATAAGTTATGACAGATACCTAGGTGTGTGTTGGGATCTGGGCCTGTTCATGTAGCCCCCCATTAACCCAAGAATGTATCAAATTATAATTATATAAAATTGATACACCACACCTACCACCAGTATCATATCAGAATATGTAAGCAACAATTTCGCCATCTGTCATCAGTAAATTGTAAACTGTATGGTTTAGGAACTAATATGAGAATTATTTCAAGTGACACTTTACCCAGGCCCCCTAGACTACTTTATCCAAAGTACTAAGGTTTGATAGAATAACTACTACTCAACGCTATTACTTAGGGCCGGTTGCACAAAGGCAGTTTAAACCTCGTTTAAATTAACACAATGGATTAAGACATATGATTAGTTGAAATTTGAAAAAACGTCAAATTTCAACCAATCCACTGATTAATTCCAAGTGAAGTTTAAACTGCGTTTGTGCAACCGGCCCTTAATAATCAAAGATACTAGTTTGAATTCAACCTTATTTGCGTATTTTTCTCTGAAATGGTAAGGAAATTTTGAAAGGTATAACCAAGAATAACCATTTTAAAATGAGCAAAACTGATAAAGCTGTCTACACTATGGTAAAAAGATGGTAGAGTATATGCATCAAAATTGATGAAAATATGCAAATGAGCTGTATTTATTGTACCGAATTGGGATTTGTGCATTTATTTTGTTTGTCCTTTTGATCATAGTATCACGACGAATTTTCATTGCAGGTGGGATGCAATTGAGTCCAAAATTAACGATAAAAAACACCAAAAACGAGGAGAAGAGCGAACTATCACCCAACGATACGTCCGACGACTCGATTAAAATCAAAGGTGAAAAAAGAGTGTGGCCTCCTCATGCGGAAGACAAACCCTCAATTCCCATGAAACCGCCCGTCAAAGCTGTCAAACCCATAATAAGCAATCGTCCTGCGTGCTCTGCCATATACGCGACGCCGATTCCGTCTTCGAACAATTCGAAACCACCGATATCAGCGAAGCCGTCCAATTTGGACAGCAAAACACCCGAGGAAGACATCAAGATGACGCTTCCCGATAAAGTAGGCAAAGATAACATTTTGGAAATTTCTCAAGCATTAGAGACAACTTTGAACGGATTGAAAACGAATTCCAATGTAACTACGGCAACCTGGCTGCAACTCTCCGACAAAATCGGATTGTTACACCTCTCGTGCATGGATTACGCTGACAACGTCATTCCAGCCCACACGAAGTTTCACTTTCGAGAGTTACTAACACGTCTAGAAGTTCAAGCGAGACAGTTGAGAAGTGCGGGCTCTCGGAATACGACTGAGAATATGCGATATGTAAATGAGGTTAATAACACAATTAAGGACGTCGTAAATGCGGTATTGCGGTAAACCATTATTTATTTTTGTTTGCTTTCTGAGATTTCGGAACGACCACGTAGGACCACTATACTTAAGAGGTTTTTAGGTAAGTTGTGCATTTATCAAATTTTGTGCGTAATGTTTTTTCCTTTTGATTGAGTTGTGAATATTCTTCTGCCTTAAATTGTGGAGCGATTGCGGTCTCCCGTTTTATTTTTAATTTTACTAAGCTGTGATACCTGTAGATTATGTTTTAAATGCTCAAACGTTTTTCCCTTTAGACCGTCAGAAACTCTCCTTTAAGTTTTAACGAAACGTTTCATTCATCGCGAAAAATATGTTTGGGTATGCGCGGCTTTATTGTGTAAGCGCTTCCGCAGTGCGATCGACCAGTCGATTTAGACAATAGCGAGGGAAATTATACAATAGGGCTGCTTTCATATGCTAGTCTTCTTTTGTATATAAATTTGTGTTTTAAGTGTGTGTGTCTGGGCAATAGTTGCGTGTAACTATTGAAAAATGTACTGCTAGGTCTTCGATAAGGAACTAATTTTATACATCCCAAAGATAAAAATACCTAACTAGTAAGTAGTAGCATCGATTTGTCACAATCAGGAAGGACGTAACCGGTGGACATATAAGAATGGAATATAGACTCGGAGCTTTAGGGTAAAGTCTTTATAATAAAACCGGTCAAGCATTTTCTCTTGGTCACATTTGTGTCAAAATATTTACCCCAAAGCTCTCTAGAGATACAGTTGGATCCAATTTCTTTTTGGTCACCTTGTGCAGTATGTGCTAAATCGCTGATATAGACGGTACTGTCAAACATTATTTTTTTCTTACTAACCGAAGTACAACGAATTCTAAATGTTGTGCCTTATGCAAGAGTACATTAGTTGCTTTTATTTTCTAAACACATTACTTTTTTTGTGCCATATACAACAGTAACCATCAATAACAATATCATGTACCGTCGATGTGAACGTATTTAGTGTACCGGTAATGGAAATAAGCAGGGTAGTTAGTATGCCGATTATAATAAGAAAAAAAGTGCTCAGATTTTCTATTCCCAATTTTATTTACGATCAACCTGAAACATTGCCAAAAAATTGAATTATTATGTTTATAATAATACCACAAAGCTTACTTTACGTAAATAAATGTATACTTTTGAAAAAAGATTGCTTTCCTAGTTTGTGTATTATATAGAACTTATAATATATATTTATTACAACGATATACTCAATATTTGTGAAAATAACGATAATTGGTGATATCCTGTAATTTGTTGTAGTTTGAGTGTGTCAAAGTAATTCATAAATTATTTGCAGCTTTAAAAGTCGTAATACGGTTTTTCTTTTCGGGATTTTTGTTTTCCATTGGATTTGACTCGATCGATTCCGTTTTATAACAAATGTGAAATGCTAGGTACTGGTAGATACTTTAAATTAGTTGTGTAAGAGATTTTTTCCTATTCTGTAATGAAAACATTTACTTTTGAAGTATGTGTCGTCACTCTCGATAGCTTATAATTTTCTATAAGCTTATTGACAAAAATGTTTGGATATTCTTTTTGTATATATTTATGCTGCATTTTGTACAGGCTTTTTAGATAGGGAACAACAGACTGTATTATCTATTTAAAAATAAATTTGCAAATAAATTGATCGTTGTGGTTTTAGATAACTACCTTTTGTCAACAAAGTTTGGTAGGACATATTTTTAGTGAGAATTAATAAACTGACCACTGACGACATATTGCACAGTAAAATCATCAAACTTTGGACAACAATTTGTTTTTGAAAATATCGAAATTTCTACACAATTCACCTAAAACTATGGTTAAACTTTTCTTAGAATAATAAATATTCTCATATAATGAAAAATAAACCAATTCTGAAGTATAATGTGCCACTAAAACTACTCATTCTCTTCCAGCATTGAAATATACTATAAAGTTTAACATTTGCTCTGAGGCCGGCTTGGAGCAGTGGAGTGGAAGTTCGGGGTACTGAGGGTAGGTACTTCGTTTGGAGGCAGGTTCGTGCATGTATATTTATAAATGTATAAATGAGTTGGATTGGTAGAACAGTATTCGATGATACTCTGCCCATCTCAATCTCAAAGGTCGCTGAGAGTAGCCCAACATCTGAACTTCACCGTGTTAAATTGTGTGTGTGTGTGTGGCATGATTTAATAAAAGACCATTATTATTATTAATAGAAAAACACAATAGCTCATAACAGCGACGTGCAGTAGTGATTCCGCTTTTGTTTATCTGTGCGTTCGTAGTAGGCGAAACGTTTAGAGTCTGTTGACGAAAAAGGAATTAGTATTCTCTCACCACCCGACTGTGCTCAGTGAATCGTTGTATGAACATGTTTTAATTTTCTCCAATCCATGACATATAAAACTGGACATGAAGACATTTATGGGGTCATATGGAATGAGCGCCATATGGGGTCGTCTTGTGGAACCTCTGCGCTTAATTCAATTCTCCAACAAAACCTTTACAAGTAAATAATAAGGTTAATAATTATGGCATCATAGGCTCTAGTAGCGAAAAGTAAAGAAAACTATTAATATCAGATGATCTTTTGATCTGCCAGTTTGCGTATAGGTTTTATTAAGTAACGGGCGATCAAAAATGACTAGCCGTTTGTCTATCTCCTAGTGTGCCCCCTGGTAACGATCTCAACGCTCCCAACGGAACTTGGGAAGGATTGTTTGACATCAAGAGGGTCTTATTGTGCTCTGACAAAGACCACTAGTCTAGACAGGGTTACCGCATCCCTCTCTCCCTGAGGACTCCTAATTTTCGGGTAACAAAGCCTCAGGGGAGACAAGTGAACTAAACAATGCTGTGGGGGGCCCACCCCACAAGTACATCTTTGTGGAGTCCTTTGTAAGCGGTTCAAAAACCTCATAGGCTGCTGGGTACCTATAATCCAAACGAATCTGAAAAATCAAACAGTACCCTCAGGAGCGCCGACAAGTTCAAAGCAAGAAGACTAGAAAAAGGAGCAGAGCAGTTATGTCCTCATATGGGTGCGCAGATAATACCCTAAAAAAATTCCCATTCCATCACCTCAACTTCTCAAGTCATGGAGGAAGGTGGAGGTGCTTCCACAGTTCCAAAAAAAAACCTTCCGAACCTGAAGTACAACCACCACACCAGCAGCTGCTACAGGGACAACTGCAAGAAGCTACGGCATCACAGTTGAGGCAACTTGTGGTCAGTTCACCCGGGCCTATTTCAAATTGAGAGGAGTTTGTGAATATGGAGTCTGATTCTAGCAACGCCGGATAAGCCCTAGACGTAGGTAGACCTTAGGCAGACGCCTCACTGTAAAGCAGGACATTGCCCTCATTCAAGAACCTTGCAGGGTTGTTAAATCAAAGGTTTCTGGTCTTGGGGGCACAAAACCGTTATTTTGATATACAGCAAGAAAAACCTAGAACATGTACTTAGGTATTTGTGTTCCTATAGCCACCTTAAAGCTCTTCTGCTGTCACACCTGTGTGCTCATGATATCTCGACTATATTATGTGCAAGTTTCTCCCGGGAGATTGTCGCAAGTAACTTGCTAGTTTATCTGCGCCTTAAGAAGTTAACGCGAGATAGGAAAAAATGGGGCACAATAGTTTATAGCTTGGTTTATAGTGACTTATCTGGTAGAACATGTTCATTTATTTTCCGTACATCATGATGGTAGAAGGGTTTTGATTATAATAAATACCTAATAACGTTACAATCCTTTTTGTTTATTTCATATTATGCTGTAAAGGATCGTGACGGTTGCTTTCAAGTTGAGGCTATAATGTTTCTGGAATTCATAGTGATGACCGAAGGCTTTATTAATTTCGAGTGCGTTAAATGAAATTCAAATTTAAGCGCGCTAGCGTATGCGCAGCACCGAGGGAGTCAATGTGCAACACATCTGCAAGTATGCATACCACATTTTCTTTTGGAGAAGGAAAGAGTATGAATTTCTAACCTAATTTAAAATATTATGGGCAAAAAAGACAAAAACAAGAAAAAGGGGAAAGGTGCCGAAAAAACAGCAGCAAAAACCGAAAAAAAGGAATCCAACAAACTAAAGAAAAACCTTGCTAAAATTGGGGAGGTAAGTTAAGACGAGGTTAGACATTCATTTTTTTAAAAAATTGTTTAATATCCAGGAAGATATCGAGAAAATTTTGGCCGACATTGAAAGCGAAGAACGAAAGAAGCTTGAAATAAAAATTCTAAAAACCGATTCGCCAAGGAAACGTATAAATTTCACATTCGCACCGCATCCTGATAAAGACGAGCTGATTCTATTTGGCGGGGAATATTTTAATGGGCAGAAAACTTTTATTTACAATGATCTGTTTTTTTACAACATTCATAGTAATACCTGGACATTGATTCAGTCACCTGCCGGACCACCACCACGATGTGGTCACCAAATGGTTACCACCTCGGTCAATAAAGGACAACTATGGGTGTTTGGTGGCGAATATGCCAGTCCGACGCAGTCACAATTTTATCACTACAAAGACTTGTGGGTGTTCCATTTAAATGAGAATAGATGGGAGAAAATTGGTGCTCCCAATGGACCCAGTTCAAGAAGTGGACATCGTATGGTGTATTGTAAGAAGCAGATATTTGTTTTTGGTGGTTTCCATGATAATCTTCGTGATTATAAGTACTATAATGATATTCACATCTTCAGCCTAGAAACTTATCAGTGGACAAAGTTGGAGCCCACTGGTAAAGGTCCAGCACCCAGATCTGGTTGTTGTATGTTGCCATTAAATGATGGTAAAATATTGATTTATGGTGGTTACTCGAAGGAAAAAATGAAGAAGGATGTCGATAAAGGGATTGTGTTTGCAGATGCATTTCTGCTTGTTCCCGACAGTAAGTAGATGCCTCGGTAGGAAAAAAATGTAATGTAAGTTTGGTGATGTTTTAGAGAACGATGCCAGTGGTACCAAATGGAAGTGGGTACAAACAAAGCTTGGTGGGGTCAACTTTTCTCAGCGTAGCGGTATGGGCTGTACTTTAGCGCCGAATAATGTGGCTTACACCTTTGGTGGCGTCTTCGATGTAGAGGAAGAAGAAGATATTTCCAGCACCTTTTACAATGACTTCTTTATGCTTGAATTGAATAGTCTAACTTGGCGAAATGTTGCTGTGGGAAAAAAAAAAGACAATGTGAAGAGGGAACTGAAAGTGGAGGATCTGAGCATGGAAGTTGACGAAATTAAAGTAGATGAAGCACCCCAAATTGTTGCAGATGATGGCATCTTTACTGTCACTGTTGGTCCTTCAGTGTCGACAGTTCAATCCAATGACCAAGAGCCAGAAAAGATGGATGTTTTTAAACCTTCTCCTAGAATGAACTGTGGATTGACCGTTAAACATGGTATGTTGTACATTTTCGGTGGAATGGTTGAGGATGGTGATAAGCAGTTGACCATGTCCGACTTTTATTCCTTAGGTCAGTACGTGTCTTGACAAATAAATTCCCAATTTTGTTTCCCAAACCAATAAGAAATTAATTTTTGTCATTTTGTATTTCAGATTTGAAGAAACTGGATAAATGGAAAGTATTGGTGCAGGATGAAGAGGTGCAAGAATGGTTAACTTCAGATTCAGAAAGTGAGTCTGAGGATGGTAGTCGTTCTAGTGACGAGTCTGATATGTTAACTGAGTGAATTTTTTATTTTTCTAAATATAATGTACTGTTTGTTAAATAATTTTTTATTTACCCTTTATACTAGTTCAGTTCAGAGGTTTCACGAAAGAATTGACCATTTTGTAATGCCATGCCATTTTGCACAGTTGTTCTTGTCACCCAAGTATGTAATTTAAGCAGCTTTTCAATTCCACCTTCCTAAGTTACCAGCAATTAATGATTGTGGGCACTTATTACATTTTGTAAGGGAAAATGCGACTAAAACGTTCTTGGTAATGAAAAAGGGGTTAAATGTTCATGTAGCATATTTTACTAAAGTAAAAGTGCTGGGAAGATTCAATATTATAGCGCGTGCTAGGGTTGCCATCCGTCCAGATTTGTCCTAGTTTAGGGGGCGTCTGGAGAGCGTTCGGGCGGGTTTTTAATGTTAGTTCGGGTTTTGAGGTACTGAGTGGGTGAATTAAAAATCTTTCTGTCAAAATTTAAGCCAACAAGTACAAGATAAACTTTCAAGCGCAAATCAGCTTTGGTAACAATTTTTTAAAACACCTAATGCTCATTTATAGCACAGATTATTTAAATCTGTGTTTATAGGTACTTAAGAGTTATTATTATAATAATAATATTTATTGGTGGTGTTTATACAGTAAATATTTCCACACGTCACAGTAACGAAATACAATTGCAACTTTATTGTTCGGAGCTATCAAACCTGTAGTTCAAATACTCATCAATATTATAGAATGCTTTGGCACCAAGGAACACTCTGATTGTTGTTCTTCCAGATCCCTGATGTAGTCAGGAAGAGCATTGTAACATTTCTTCATGTAGTAATGTCTCGTCCTTTTACTGTCCGATAGTAGTCTTCGACAAAGTTGTTTTTAGTCCGTACGTACGTTGTAATAACATTTATCACTGTTTTTACGAAGGGTTGGAAGGGCCTTCTTTGCGTGTGTTAGACAGGTAAATATATACCTACATGGGAGTGTAAGGATGTTAAGTTTGGTTCTTATAAATTTTATTTTGTTAAAAAAGTATGTTACTTATTGCTTCATTTAAAGAATTTAAAAATGTAGATAAGCCGTTGCTGATTCCTAACAGTTAAAGAAGATTTTGTTTCGTGATAAGAGCATTGAGTAATTAAACGTAAAAAACCGCTTCGATCTAATCCCTCGTGGCTTCCGAATAAACGTAGAAACGACAAAAAAATATGGACAGAGTACGCCATGTTTTATTTAGAAAAATTAATTGTTTGTTTTATTTCTTTAGAAAATATTCTTTATCAAATTCAGTTGATATGTTCGGGGGTTTTCACGCTTCCTGTCCTAGTTGGTAGAGTTAGATGGCAACCCTACGCGTGACAAGATTCATGTTGAGGAATATCTTTTTTGGTGAGGATGGCGGGTGCGTGGTAAAATGTACGGTTGTCTTACAGCACCTTTCTTTAAGTGCCAATTCTTACGATTAGCTACAAAATTTAAACTTATTGCTTTAAAATTGGAATAATATATGCGTTGCTCTGATTAATCAACAAAGAAATGTAATCTTACCTTATTACTCTCAAAAGGATAAATAGTATAACGAGCGATCAAAAAAGGATTGCTGTCAAGTTGCCTTTGGAAAGTTCAAGTTAAATACGATTTCCTATGGAAACAAAAATTCTAAAGGTGACTCAACAGCAACTCTTTTTTGATCGCATAGTATAGGTATAGGTAGAGAAGTCCAGTCTAATTATTTCCTGAGCACCAAGATTATATCCCCAGGCGATTGCTTACTTAATTCCTTTCATTCCATTGATTTTATTTCAGAAAACAAATGAATAACGTAAAGCAATTGAATTTTTTAAAATAGCAATGCACACTTTCATATTAGGCTCATTTGATAGAGATTTTGTTTCTCTTTTCATTGTCGTGCCTCGTTAACACCGGTGCAAATTTGTACTGTACCCCTACGGTTAACTTTTACATTTTTTTCTCCGCCTTTTTGTAATAAAACAGCATAATTTTTGTAGACTGTACAAGCTGGCGCATAATGTGATACTGGTTAGATATCGACCTTTTTCCACATCATTCGGTGTAATGGGAAGCACGTGATAAAATTTTGGTTATCGAAGATTTCAAAAAGTGCTGTTTAGCAAATTTAATTTGAGTCATCCCATTCTGCCTAGAGCGGTGTTTGTTCCGGAAGGGGTTGGTTTTGTTGTACCGTATCGCACGAGGATTTTAATCATTGGGATCTGGATTTGCATGCACAGAAGGAATCCGTTAAGTTGATCGAGTAGCCACTGTTGTGAAGAAGCTATCGGACAACAATTTACGAGAGATCGAGGCAGTCAAGCCGTTCTTGTAACTTTAGTAATGTTAAATCATGTCAATTTAAAAATGTACCAAATTTGGGAGTTCAGGTAGACTGTAAATATAGAAGTAGTAGTATATAGTAGTATTGTGTCGTGTTTGATTATTGACATTTGTATGTGTGGGTGAGAGGCTCCTTAGGAAGTGAAGTGTCATCTGAACTCGATAACTATGGTCCGTCTCTCAGTATAATCGGCAGAATCCATCCCATTTCCACTGAGCTAGTTACTGTTGCTGAACACCCAAATATAGAGGGGCGACATCGGGGAAACATAAGGTGGAGTGGTAGCGCCAGCAAATTTATTTGTAGTTATATTCTGTTTCGGCTATTATCCAAGTTGGCGTTGCAGTAGGTTGTAGACAGAAATATATAAGGTCTTTCGAATAACTTAGTAATAACTTGTGGTTGCTGTTTAAAAAAAAATCGATGCGGTTGTGTAGCTCCAAATTACTTTTTCCAAAAATCCGGCCGGTTATTTTTCGTTTCCGTATGCTTAGTATACATACCCAAAATTTGAACCAAATCCGTTGAGCAGTTACCTCGGAAAATTGCCAGCGTACCTACATACATACAGAGTTGCTTAAAATGATCTAAAACATCCACGTACATTTGATGATATTTTAACATGTCCACAAAACGGTGACCGCAATAGCTACCTAGCTGTACTTAGGATGCTAAAAATTTATCCACAGTGGTAGAAATACAACAATGGTCACAAAATTTCGTACTTACCCACCCTTATTTTGATGTAGTCCAGTTCAGTACTTGAAAAATGTACCGAGCAATACAAGAAAACATGAAATCAATTTATTTTACCATCTTCACAACTGATGAGTAATTATATTTGAACTCAGATATTAAGCGTAACAATGGGGACAGAGCCCTTTGTCTGTATACCTCCCTAATGTCATTCTCTAAGCAGTCTTGTTGATATAAACTTTTTTTGACGATTAAACCCTGTTTTCATTCAACTGTACTGGTCCTAACAATGTGAAAGATTTTTTACGTTGGCACGAATGAAACTGCTTCAGTGAATTGGTTAAAAAAATAAAGCATTATTACTAGTAGTGTATTACAAACCTGCAAAATAGAAATATTGCTTTATTTTATATTGATTTGCATGTACTCTACTTATTAATGGTGAGATACAATATCTACAGATTGGATACTACCTTTCGAGAATGTACTGGCGAATTTTAGCGAAAACAATTGCTTACTGTTTAGATGGAATGACACCAATGGATTCTACTTTGTTACAGGAATTATAAATTACTTATGTAACAAATTACGCACCATTTCATCAGCTCATAACTACACAAAATAATTATACGATTTAGAACGTGTCGGTAAATTGCTCCAATGATTGTTACAAGTTACCTATAGTATATGAAAACAATTTACAAACACCCTGTATACAAAAACCACTAAGTGCTACCGTTCTTTTGAAATTAGTATTGTCGAAAAATGAGCGAAACAGAAGAGTTGAGTCAGTCGAGTATCAGGTCACATTGGATTATAAACGTAATTAGTAGTATGAGTAATAGATACTATTCGTGCATAGATAGTTTGCTCGCAAAAATTCGCTTAATGCACTAAATTTGCTAAGTAACCAAAAATGAAATTGTAATTAATTCAACAGTTACCACTGCAAATTTCTACTACAATACACACAGCTTACAGCACAATACAAAATGAATCACATTGAAACAGTTATTATTGAGTAATGTCACATAGGGTGTGGTATACGTGAACACAACATAGATGCAGAGACCTTTATATTTTTTATTACATGCATCTCTGCAACCACGCGTCGTAACTGTATTTAAACATATAGTAAACATTCTAACGGGGTTTACAACAGTCGTTTCATTACAAAGATATCAGATACGTTTGATTTTGATAAAATCACTGCAAAAATTGCACACGTAAGGAAATATACCAAACTTAACAACTCTTACCACTAAAAAATTAAAATATACCTGCAATGTATATAAAGTAAAGTGCTGATTTATAAAATCAAATAAACGCCTTAATTAAAAATAAATTAAATAAAAATACTACTATTGTCACACTCAATACGTTAACAAAAAAAAAGAAAATTTTTCTAACAGCCAGATGACGACTAACTACGACATTTATGATTATTTGGCTTTTTTCTTTAACTGTGATTATACACAATGAACTAACTAATGAAGATGTAAGATGCGTCAGTCAGTGAGTGTTGGTCCTTATTGCACATTGGACGGTGATGTCCGTTGCACTAACGGCATAAGAAGCCACCGTCAACACACTAATTTAAAAAAATATAAATTAGTAACATTGCAACAATAATATGATACAACACTGAAATATAGTGTACTTTTTTACTATTCTTCTTATTATTATTATTACTATTATACTACTGACTAGTTCACACTAAAAAATTTGAGACAATTTAAATAAATATACAGCTTGCGTCATAATAAAAAAAAACAGTGAACAATAATATTAGTGTGATTCAGTTACGGATGTAAATACACTACAGATCGCTCATGACATAAGAGAAATAAAAATGCACCATAATTTTGGTTTTATGCATCTGAGAACAGGATTCGGAAAAACCAGGTTTTAATAGAAAAAGGCCACTTATCTAGATTTTTTATGATTTTTTTGTTTTTATTGTTTCGAAGTTTAGGAGAAAATTAAAATTAAAGTGTACCTATTTAGCAAGTGAGTTAATTTTCTATAAGTTCATGTGTCCTTTCACATATGAACAAGGAAAAATGATGGTTATAAAATCAAATCAGGCAGTCTCTTAATATGGCTCCTATGGGGTAAATGTAGGTACTGTAACCATAGTAAAATTTTAGACCGCACAGATCATATGTAGGAATCTAGGAATAACAAAGTAATTAATTAAAAACGTTGAAGGAATATTTTTATATCATGTCTAGTCCAACAGTTTTTTAGCCAATTAGGTACACCCTTTATGAAGGAAAGCGTGGGTACTAATTGGAGTACTAAGAACATTTTTAACGCGTTTAAATCCCCTAACCCAACTGTACCTATGTCCGCAGGAACATAGGGATTTTGTTCAATAAGCGTATTTTTTTCGTAATTTATAACAAAAGTTTTGTGACTTGTACGATTTTTGAGATTTTTCAATGGGAGCTGGAGCGTATATGCAAATAAACTATAACAATACGAGTCTTCCTCTCGCCAAAGAATTTCCTACCTTGAATCTAAAGGAAATTAACGGTTCTATTTGGTAATAATAGAAAGAAATAGTTTTATTAATCGGGTAACACCTAATCAATTTTAATTTCTTTTAACAACTAAGGTCTGTATAACTTTAAGAATATACATTTTGGTGCATTTTTATTTATTTATTATTTATAATCGAATTGGTGTCTCATTGTGTTATTTTTTAGCGCATTTACAAGGAGATTGAGTTATTATGTTCCCATGCAGGTATAATACATACCGGGTGAATATTTCAAAACCGAACATAGGTAATTTTTTAATCTATGCAAAATTTGATACAAGTGACCATAGGACTAAACTAAATCGTTTTTGAATTGAATTTTTGAAAAATATACTCTTTCGACCAATTAAATTACCCCGATTATACATGCAACGAATTTCAGGGACCCAGTGTGGTAAACAATGCGCTCTTCAGTCGCCTAGTATTACCGCAGAGATAAATTCCAGAGGGTTAGACCGTTAGTACTTCTGAATTCCAGATGACGACTCAATGGGTTGCGACTGACCGTTCACAATACGCGTGCATTTTGCTCTTATTAGAAGTAGGTAGCTATCTGTGGTTAAAATATGTGAATTAATAATTCTTTTTAAATAAAGTATGTCTAATAAAACTTGCCTTTTTAAAAGGTAAATACGCATTTTAGGCTAACAATGTTAAGATTCAGTTATGGTTAATTTATTTATGTTGCGCTTGTAATAGGAGTTTTTGCGGGACTAAGAAGGAATGGACTGGTAAACTTAACTATATTGATGACAGAGAGGTGCAGTTATTATGATAAAAAATCAGGAAACAAAAATTGGCATAGTCCAGATACTTTTAGTATTGTTAAACAAAATAAAAGCTATCGAAATGTTCTATGTGTTGCCCAAACTATTGAAAAGAAGAGCTTTGGAAACATTACGTACGTTGGCAATTCCACTGTTCAATGCTGGTGCCGATATGCTAATTCTAACTCACTCACACAGGAAGGGTGATAACATTGTTTCCGGATACATTGAGGATAGCATGGAATTGTAGAACAAAGTAAATAAGGCGAATGATTGCGGGAATGAAACGCACTGAGTGCGCATCGCATGTTGTGTTTAGTGGATCCATTTCGAATTACATATTTAATTTTAAAAAAGACACGGAGATTTTGGTTTCCAATTATTGTTATATCTGTTTAATTTTCATTAAAGTGTACTAAAGAAAATTAATGTCTCGGTTTCTTTCTTTTCTGGAAATCTAAACATTTGCGAGCGTATATAATAATTTCGCCTGTACCACGATGGTAACATTATTGGTCAATTTATCTTACCCTGTGCTTAAATTCAAATCGTAATGAGCTAATGACCAATTTATAAGATGGAATGAGCTATCTGTACTGTATTTACATGTGTCTATTAGATTTAACCTAATGGCTTCACACATAAACTTTCCCTTGTTAAGTTTAGCAAGGTGTCACAACTAAAATTTGCACTTCTCTTTCACTAAAGTTGCAAAATTATCTAAAATGTACAATTAGTTTTAATTTTTAATTAATTTTCCGTAAATTGATTTCTAAAGGGAACAATTTTTAGTCGAGACCATTAAAAAAAATCTTACCTGAGTGTCCCACCGTCAAAACTTCAATAGGCAGTGAACCTCGGCGCCGACCCAGCAGCGCGTCAGAATGATCAGTTTGACGGAGCAGTAAAAGACGAGAACAAGACTCCGAAGAAGTTTCCGGCAAACAAACAGTTTCAGGCCCGCCTGAACTACGCCTGCGTAGTTGTTTTTTTCTACGACTAGATTTACCATTAAGACTAACATGTCGCGTTAATAAGTTTTGCCGCTCGTTTGATCGCAACGGCGGCAAATCCGTCGGAGCAGATCCTCTACGTGGATACTCATAATTGGTTGTATCGGTAGTTTCGACACGGTTATCGACGTCTATACCTAGAACACATTAATCAATTGTTCCAATTAAAGATACATCAAGTTCAACGTCGTTAATCCACAATTACGGAGAGGTACAAAACCTGAATTTGATTTTCCAAACCCATATGTCAATATCGTTTAGGGCTAATCAGCATTTATCGCATAGCTAATTAGTTTAAGCAACGTATGTGTATGTTACCACGACTCTTTTAAGAAATTTATTTGTTTTAAATTTTTGATTAAGTACAAATAAAGCGCAAGGACAACGTATGGAATATTTACTTACGATGACATGCTATCTCAACAGGAACAGATCCTCGCCGAAACTCGATTATATCCGGAGAACGTAAAGCCCCGCCTGCGGGGTGTGAATTTTCGACAGATGTAACCGTTGTAAACGAGACTGGAGCCGATGCTCTTCTTTTGGCCAAATTCTGTAAAAGTTGCGTTAGGGGGCGTTGTCAGCGGTTGGTAACTTACAGCGTTAGCCGCTAACAGTCTTGGATCAACATTCTCTTTTTCGAACCGTTGATCCGTTTCCGCCAATTTGGGTATTTTGGACGCCTTCTCTTTTTCGGCGTTTTCTTGCTCGCGCTTATTATTAGAGATACAAGGCCTTACCGAAGGTAGAATATCAGGTACTAGTAGTTCGGGAGGTTGACTGTTATTAGGGCTTAAAACAGCTATGGAAGGTATACTATACTGAGGAATGGCTGATGATATGTTTTCTTGCGAGCTGTGAGATGAGTTAGATCCACTTTCACCTTCGTGAGGAGTTTCGGTGCAGGTGGACATTTCGACGGTTGCGGACATATACCGCACTCTGACGTACGGTTGGGGAGGCGGAAACGTTTGTTGCCTGGTTAAGGCCTTCGAAGGGGGGCCGATACTTGTACCGTGAAGAACGGAGGAGAGTCGCCCTGCTGCAATACTACTTGTCATGGATGCGATATTTGGTTCGGGTAAAAGATTTTCAGCACTAAGAGGGCGCTCTTGATCGTCTACAAAGCAGTTAGCTACTACAGCGCGAGGATTAGCAGAACGCATTTACCTGAAGATTTTTGTTGTCCACCGCTGCTCCACGATAGAATCGAAGATTGCGATCCAAACTTCATTAGTTCATCTTCTTCGCGAAGGTGCTCACTTGAGGTTCTCGAGTCTGTGAGAACTGGACTGACTGTCGATCGCCCAGATGGTGTTGGAATGTTCCTGTTCGCCGGTAAGCTTTCCCTTCGATAAATCGTGCGAGGTATCGGAGGTTGCTCCATATTGACAGGTACCGAGTGTCTACGCACACCTAAAGCACTCTCTACAGTTGGTACTGCAAGTGACTGCCTCCTTATCTCCCTAAAACACCTTATATTACAAGGCCAGCATACCATTTCCTACGCACTTTGATGGTGGAGGAATAAAATCAATAATCGTGGGCGTATCCGACGTAGCCTTACTCGGCTCCTCCTCTTCACTAACATCTCGTTCAGGTTCTGCGTCAGAGAGCTCAGTTTGCGTTTCCTCTGCTTGCTCAGCGGCTTCTTCAGCCTCCCACTTTTTACGATTAAAGTTCAATAAATTGATCATGTGATTTGAAAGTGAACTGCTTAGAAATCTATGCCACTCTGAATATAAAGGTGTAACAACAAAACGATAAAATCCTTAAATGACAGTTACAATCCAAATCAGAAACGCGCTCAAACCTCACCTGATTGAATTTTGGCAACCGAAGTAGATTGTTGATCGCAAATGGAAGTAACTGGAAGATTCAGTTTTCGTTCAAATTCCCCTTGGCGAAAGAATTCGTCACAGACTTTTAAGCTCCACTTGTGTGAGATGTCCCATGGACGTGTTGGATTTGAAATATCAGCACACTTTAAGGCTATTTGTAACACAAAGTGACGATTTTCTGGATTTTTTAGATCCAATGTACCATCATCTAAGTGTTTCTGTAAGAGAGGGCAAATTTAGTTCAAATTTTCTACATACCTATGAAGCGCAAAGATTTTGATGTAATTTGGCTTTAATATAATTTAGCTTTCACTGCGCTTACTACAATATTATTAAAATTGTGAGACGCTGCAGTTGTTTCCAAATACAGTACCAGTGCCTTAGATAAAGATCCTGAATACCGCCACTTATCTGTTCGAGAAAAGTGCCAGTTTACGAAAAACACGTGGGAAGTAAAGTAACACACCTCATCACGTACCGATTTACTTTGCGAACGTCAATTTGATTACATACGCGACAGTACCTTAAATTTTATTAAAAATTCCTGTTGCCGATTGATATCAGTAGCTAAAATAAGTGATCGAATCTGATTTTCTAATTCGTTTCTACATGGTGTTAATTGTTGAGCTACTCCGCTTTCTAATAAACAGCCAACAGCCGATCTCCAATGATGATTTTCTAAAACTGACATGTTCTGAAAATATATTGATTTATTGCAATGGCCGAGTGTTAGTTAATCATTACGTCATATAAAATTGCAAGATGATTTGAAGTTGAAATGAGAAAATGTTGATTAACCCCTGGATGATCAAGATCATGTGCAACAGCACCGATTAATGCAGCCATTACTTCCAGCGGTTGTAAGTGTTCTTTAATCTAAGGGATAAGTGTTAGTTAGATCAGACCGTAATTCGATCACAACCTTTTGTTCCTGCAGGAAGCAATGCATTGCTTGAGTTACATCGGTCGCGTGTATGGAATTGTGATACGGATTTGTACTATGGTAACCTTCTTCTATAAGGGCTGCAAAATATAAGTAATTACTAAAGCAGCAACCTTAAACTTTATAGCATTTACAAAAAAGTTTCCATACTCGTACTACATCTAATTGGAAGTGATCGAGGAGTCCGTACCAGTGGAATAAGTGAACACAAAGAACTGGCAGTGATCGGCCGCCGGTCACGGTCTCCAAAGTAAAAGCATTAAACCCCCACAAACCACATGTATTTAAGATATGCTGGAATTACAGTCATTTTAAAGCTAATCTAATATTCTACTAAATCTCACCTGAACTTGGCCATGGAAAATGTCATCTAAAATTGCATGATCCTGATTGAGTGAACGTGTTGTGAGTTTTTTACGTCTACGTTTATGCATAGTGAGGAATCGCCCTGTACAGGTTGGAAGTGGAATTGATCCCATTGCGTCCAATAGCACCCAGTCTTCGGCAGAAAACCGCCGCTGTGATACTGGCACTTCAACCGGAGCTGCAAGAAAAATTGTTGCTTAAAAAATTGGAATTGAACATGATCCATAGCTCATATGTGGTAGGAATCTTCTTAATAGTAGGGGAGCCAGCACGAAATCCACTGAACGAGAATGATCAAAATTTTAACCGATTCCATTTTGCCTTATCAGAGTATGCTAAAATCGATCGTCTGCCGCCTCAGGTCATATTACTTAAGGCGCTGCGGGTACTTCTTGCGGTACCAATTCTAAAAGGTTGTTTTTCGAAAAAATAAGTTATACACCAAATGAAAACGTTGATAATAGCTCTTAAAAAAATATTTAAAGAAATCGCGCGCATTTGATAACTCCGTAAAAAAAACAATTCTTAGTCGGTTTTTCACGAAGTTTCTACGGATATAACTAGGTTACGGTTGGACGAATGGAGCTGATTTTTTTTACAGACTGATGATAGGTACTACTAATGACTTAATGGTGTTTCGTTTTTAAATTTTTTCTCTAATTATAAGATTATCTTATATTATCTTAACATTATAAGATATCTTATAATTAGAGAAAAAATTTAAAAAAGAAACACTCTCATAATCATTGGCTGTACCTATCATTAGTCTGTAAAAAAATCAGCTTCATTCATCCAACGGTAACCTAGTTATATCCGTAGAAGGTTCGTGAAAAATCGACTAAGAATTGTTTTTTTACGGAGTTATCAAATGTGCGCGATTTTTTAAAATATTTTTTTAAGAGCTATTATCAACGTTTTCCATTGGTGTATAACTTATTTTCTCGAAAAACAACCTTTCAGAATTGGTACCGCAAGAAGTACCCGCAGCGCCTTAAGTCATATGACCTGAGGCGGCAGACGATCGATTTTAGCATACTTTGATAGGGCAAAATGGAACTCCTTCGGTTAAAATTTTGATCTTCATTTGTTGTATTTTTTTATTAGGAAAAAAATTTAATTGCTGGCATTATGAGGAGCTTTGTTTGAATACAAGCTATTCTAATAGTTAGTATTTTGTATAATTACATTGAATATATCATGATGTTAGTGTTAGTGATAAAGCTAACTCAAAGCATACTTAGTTGTATTAGAAGAAAATGAAGCTCTTGCACCAAAGTTAAAGTAAATTTTGCTTTAATACACAGTAATTTTAAATCAAACGTTTGGTTGTGTTACTCTTAGTGCAAACTACGATTATTGCGATTATGTTACCTACATTGGATTTGAATAAATCGCTATTTTATTGTAGGTACTGTTTTATCAAACCAATAAAACTACTTATATCAAATTCAAATATGTATATGGCATGTATTGAGTTTAATGCATCATTGATTTCTTTAATGAGCGTACCAATTTCTTAAATTAATTATATTTACTCGCGCATAGGTATAGGAAATTAGTTATACTTAAAGTAAACTAAGTATTTATTTTTTGTGTACATACAGGGGAACAAAAATGTTATGCTTTGAAAGTTGCTTAAAATCTAGCTTAAAATGATGTAAAACGTCGACATTTGGTGAAATTTTGACATGTCCAAAAAAAGGTGATCGCAATAGCTACCTGGTTCATTCTAGGAAGCTAAACACAATTTACCCCCTCAAAAAAACTATCGAAAATGTGGAAATTTTTGGCGACTGGCAATCCGCTGATGTGTTCATTTGTTTAAACCCAAACAAGCAAGCAAACAGTTGGATATTGTGGCAATGACCTACCGAAACTGTTAAAAATCACACTTTCAGTTGACGCACCGCAGGTGGCGCCGATATCAACTAGTGCAAAAATCGACAATGAAATAGAGGTAATTAATAAATTAACGAATTAACTAAATAACAAATATATTTACCAAGAGAATTTAACACCGATACCGATTGCACCACACTAATATTGACGTCTACCTTGCAATGACTTGACTGCAAAGATGAAGAGATTGATTTCAGAATCACTCGAGAAATTACGCACGTAACCAACTCGTTGATGTCATGTAGGTACACGGAACACACGTACTGCATGATCTTACGAAGGGATCATAAACACGTTCATTTTTTAATTAACAAACGTTTTTACGAGAGGCTCGGGTTTCGCATTTAGCGACGCGCATACTTTTTTACCAATTAGATCACGTAAAATAACGTGCGCATAATTATGGCCTTCCATTTTTGATCGAAACTCTGAACATGAAATTTATTTATCGATTTTGAAACGTTAATTTTCTTGAAGTTTACCTCAATTTGAATAAACGATAAACTTTTACGCGGCAACTTCAATCACTAGCGAATTGAGGGGTTTGTGGTAGGTAATTCATTTATACGCCGCATCCGGATACATTACGTATTCATCAAGAGTGAGAAAAAGGCATTAGTGTAATTCTTACACTATGTTTACACTATGTAAAAAGCAGATCAGGATCGGAAGTGGATCATTATTGTCAACATACTGTTTGAGGAAGTACCTAAACTGTGATGCGAATGCGTTTTTATTCAATGATTATAATAATAATATATATTGTTGTGCAGACATGTTGATACATTTACACTCGTCATTAGATAAAGAACACACTAGCATATAATACAACAAACATAAAAAACATATACCTAACACAGAATGACTGATACAATTACGAACCACTCCAACAGAAGTCGTTAAACTCATCAAATGAGAAAAAAAGGGTGTTGAATAAACAATTTTTTTAGTGTGATTCTAAAATCTGAGAGGGGTAGCGATCTAATCTTCCGAGGAACTAGGTTAAATAAAGATTGAGATTGCTATATGTTGCACCATTTGGGTCTTTAACAATCGGCAAAAAGTCACCCTTAAGTTATCTTTTTGTCGAGTGAGTATGAATGCACCTGGAATTAATTGTAAGTGCTTGTACGTATACGTAAGAAATACATAAGACTTAAAAATTTCGCAAAGTTGAACTGTATAGAAACATTCGAAGGTGTTTACAATGAACGTAATTTTTACGTACGTATAGGTACGTAAGCGATATGTAAGTCTTGTGCATAGTCGCAAAGGTTGAAAATGTTTCAAAGTTATCATACTACTATGTAGTATGATCTTTGGTTTATTGTAAACAGCGAAGTAAATTTACGGAAACGATACGGATATGTACGAGTTACGGTTTATGAAATATTTACGTAGGTATAAGTTCATTGTAAACAAACACTAACACATTCTCCACCATATGTTTCTTACAAAAGCACAAGGCCTCAAGAATATAACGACTAGGAAGAGTATCATCAAGTATATCAAAAAAGCGAAAGGCAACGGTGCAAAATAAACTGTAAAGTATTTGTATTATAAAAAGTGTAAAACATTTATTGGTTACAATTCTTATGGGTATATGCTAGAAGTCTATTGCAAATCGCTAAATTGTCTGATATCTCCGAAACGAATCAATAGAATTTAAAAAGCAAAGGAGATTAGTAATCACGATTAAATTGGCTTTCAAATAATGTGCCATTTGCCATAGGATTCCATTTAAAATTTTAGGGGTAAAGCTCCCTACGTAGAGGGGTGAAGACTTGGGTTCGTGATTTGTATTCCAAAAGTTGTCCCCCTCGAATACAAAATTGACGTGTTCGCGGATTTTTCGAAATTTCTAAATTTAATACCCTAAAAGCCCTCTGTATACTTCTCGTTGGGCCACTCTGTATGTCACATAAAATATCGAAGAACATTTATTTTAATAAGAAACTAAAACAATACGTCTCTAAAAAAGTGGTCTGGACCTGTTACCATAGTCTGATTGCAACGCACATGTCATACGCGATTACAGCTTGGGGTTTTTCTAGTAATGCCAAATTACTCTTCAAACTTCAACGAAGGATTATTAGAATAATTATCACTGGCCTCGGGTATACAGAAAACGTACGGCAGAAGTTTATTGAACATAACTTATTGACACTTCCGTGTATTTACATCTACCATGCACTAATACAAGTTAAAACCGACATCGATCCTATATAACGCAAGAAGAGACACATAACCACAATACCCGTAATAAATAGTAGATTACATACCGAGCTGGGAGGTGGTTCATTACCTACGCCGAGGGCTTAAGGTACCTCACCGACGCGCGAAGCGCGGAGGTGAGGTATAAGCGCGAGGCGTTGGTTATGAACCACTGACCAGCGAGGTTTGTATACTATTTTACTCACAATCGATCATTTAAGGTAAAGTATATAATTCAACAAGGTGTTACTTTAACTGTCAATAATAGTGACACCGCCAATGTAACCATTAATGTTTACAACAATAGCAAATAGTTTCGTTCTTCTTCGTAATTTGCTATTGTTGTAAACATTAATGGTTACATTGGCGGTGTCACTATTAGTATAAGTTTCATATAAGGATAATATGAATAGCATTTGCAGGTAAGGAAAGTGACAGATGCTAGCCGGGAAAGTGACAGCTAGCCGGGAAAGTGACAGCTAGCCGGGAAAGTTACTTTCTCGGCTAAGGTGAGTAATGAGTCGCTTCGCAACCGCTATGAAGGTTAGGAATTCAGATAATACTAACCGATTGTGAGTAAAATTTATTAAATTTAAAACGTCTAAACAAGAGTCGAAACACCATGAACTACTACGGACCTAAAATGTATAATCAGCTCCCTTTGTGTCTCAGAACTGCACCTTTGAATGAATTCAAGAAAAAACTCAAAAAAGTATTGATTAGCAAAGCGTTTTACTCAATTGAAGAATTCATGTAACTGTAAGTGTGTTTTTTAAATGTTTCTTTTTTGACAAGTGTAAAATACTACTTGTATTACAAACACGAAATAAAGGGTTTTCCAATAATGACGTTAAACTTTGACAGTTGATTGCGGCGATATTGTTTAAGCTACATCTGTCAAATTGGCTGTACTCTTTCAGTATGTTTTGACAAATCATCATGGAGAGTTTTAGTGTTCAACAACGTGTACAAATCATAAAATTGTTTTACGAAAATGGGTCATCGGTGGTTATGTCACGCAGAGGCGACGTCAACTGGCCACCGAGATCGTGCGATTTGACCCCG